CTGCAAGGGATTCATTACTATGTCAATGCTGCCCAATCCGCCGAGAAAGTCTTTAAGGATATTGATCAGATCTTCCTGAGATCCACTAAGAAAAAGGGCTTCTTCAGCAGATTTTTCTAGAACACTGCCGTTAGAAGTACTTCCCGAGATGTCTCTTGTTTTTAGAATTCCTTTAGCATTTCGCTCTTTTCGAAGGTAATACTTACAGAGATAATTGTAAACATATTAACAGTATCAAAATAACAATTTACTTGTCTAATGCTTGTCTAATGAGAGTTAAATCTAATTTGAGTCTTTATATAATCTCAGTAATATGAACGTTTACAAGGATCACTGTAAAAGATACGTGGCAATATGTGAAACAAAGACAGGTAGCAGTATTTCATAAGATTTATGAAACTATATTTTAGAAAGGATGAGGTGCTACAATTGTGGGTCAAGTGCACATGATCTATCGATGCGTCAAACAACACATGTAAAATATATAATGCCTATTATATGTTCGTTTAATAGGGAAACGGACACGTTTGTACATAGTGGCTAAAAAATTTCAATTTGTTACTATATTTTTCTTGCGCGATATTGTCTTTATATCAGAGCACATTTAATAAGATACTTTTTTTATATTTCTCGACAGATTTTTGTTTTCTTTTATCGAATTAAAAGAATAGAGAGAATGAGCATGACAATTACGCACTTTATTTATGAATGCGCACATTTTTCGAATTTTGACATATTACTTTTACAGTTAACCATGATCTGTCTTGATTTTTATTCTTCATAATATTGAATTTTGTTAGTATTTTCTGCTGGACAGTTGTATATAAAAATCGAATCATTTCAAAATTGATTACAATTTTGAATCATTATAATTCTCTCTAATGATAGTAACATCTAACTGCCACACTCAACGTGGGATTTGTATGCGGACCTACAAATATATATTACGCTTCTTCGATCACGTCGCTGAAAAGAATGGGCATCAAAGATGCTAATATGACTGTATAAATACAATAAAAAAAACATTGTGACATTACGTCGCTTTTCAGAAATATGATTTTACAAGATTACGAACGAAGTGCGACGCAGATCAAAGACCTATTTTACATAGAGACAAAGAGATCAGATATACATATTTTTTCGGATACAACGTTATCCAATGTATGTATGTACAACTTGAAATCCCAATATTTTCAGAGAGAAGAGACAACTGTAAATCTGTACAAGAATAAATCACTTGTGAAATATTTATATTGTAATTATATTTATAGTAATTTTAGTTATATAAATAATTAATTTTGTAGAATAAGAGAACATATAGAAATTTTTAAACAATATCTTAATTTTCATGATTATTAAGTTTTAATTACTTTTTAGAGACTTTTAAGAAATCAATTAAGAAACGATTGAAAACAAAAAGATACATTAATATAACATATTTTTATACGTAATATGTATTGTTACATATATAATGCACATACAATTATACTCACATTTTAAATAACTTCTAATTTAATTTAATCTTAACATAATTCTTAATAAAATTAAAATTAATCTGCATTAACAGAAACAGATATTTAAGGGAATTTTGGAACATATCTTACAGAGAATGAAAAAATATTTCGAGAAAAGACGCGGTCTAAATCCAATTCAAATTTCGCGCTCTTTCGAATATCACTATTTCCCCCGGATCTCCCAGTTGACCTCCGAATCGAAATTTGAAAGTGCAACTTGCTTCAGTCCGGTTAACCAATACATATTTAATGCATTATTTTTTTCATATTTTCATCTAAATTGAAAAAAAAAAATTTTTGTCTAAAGCTAAATTTTTAACACAGTTCGTATCTAATCTTTTTTTGTGTCTTTAAAATATTTATAACTCTACTCTGATACGAACATTTGATAATTATCGATTAAATGAAATCGGATTTATGACCCATTTCGAATCGCAACCGGATGGCGATTAGCGGCGATGGTGATCACGTCGAAAAAAACTGTCATCATCACGCTGGTTGGAATCACGCAGGCGGAGCCACTCGGCTCGACGTCGTTCGCGCATCTAGCTTCGTTTCGTGCGCCGTGAAAACGAGACGTTCCGTCTGTCGTCATGGCGGAGAATGTTTTCATTCCGTGATACGCCGACTCGCGATTGCATCGGTTATCAACTCGGCTGGTCGCCGATACGACGAGAACGACAATAACAACAACAACAATAACGACGTTGTTAACGACGTTGATTCACGCTCGAGCTGGTGGAGACCCGACGACGATCATCGCGCGATCATGGACACGCGTGGCATCGAGGTCACGAATCAGCTTCGGGTGAGTCCGCGTCGTCGAACGCGTGTCCTGGCGATGTCCGTCAGGAAGATCCAGGCGTGATGTTTAATCCCGTCGACGTTCTGATTATTATGTAATCGCAGAACAGACCTTCCTTGGACAGACTGTGAAGGCTGTCGTACGTTGTGAATCTGCTACTCGGAAAATTCGGAACGTTCGTGACTAAATTTATTTATTTACTTTTATTCACTTTGATCTGTGTCTCTCACACAGAAGTCTATATAATATAGAAGTTGGACGTTTCTGTCTTCTTCCTGGAAGAAGAAAATAGAAAAGTATCTTTGAAATTAATTACGTTAGTAGAGATGGACATTAAAAGCAACTGTATGCTTTTTTTCTGTCAGTTTTTATCAATGTAGATTAATCTTGATTTAGTTAATCTAGATTTCTAGAAATAAATGGAGGTAAAAAGTAAGTTAATCTGAGATTATGTTGATCCACATGGATAGAAATGGACATAAGAAAGAAATGTGATGGATAGGATTATTTACATTGAAATCAATTGATCAAGGATATACAAAGTCAATAAATGTAGGTTCGTTGAATAGCTATTTAGGTCTTTGAACCTCTGAATTATTTAAACATGAAACATGACACAAGAAACATGTAGGCATTTTTTATCATTTTTATGATTGAACTTTAGTATCTGATAATTATTCTTTGAATTTATATATATAATAAAATTGCTTATTGAATTTGTATATATATAAAAATTCAATAAATTTTTTAAACATTTAATATATATAAATTGAGAATGTGTTCAATAATAGAAAGGAATATGTGCAAACTCAACAAAATAACATTATATGCTCAGTCATTGGCAGAGATCAATCTATGGGTTAGACAGGAAATGCATAAAGCAATATTCTTCAAAGTGAAAAGGTCATAGAGTTATTTCAAAGAGGTTGTGAATAGTCTCTAAAAATTTTATTTATATTATATTTGACTCCTACTTTGTGTTAAAATATATTGATAAGATTTATAATTATTTAATTTTATTAGAAAAAAACAAATAATCTTTCGATTTATTTCTCTTAAATAATTTTTCTTGGTATACATTCTAAATTATAATAAATAAAATATTAAATAATTAAATTTTATTCAATTTTAAAGCTGAAAATGAAAGGAGTATTTGCATTTTATGTTTTTTATTTTTAAAAGGATTGTGACTCAAAAAAATCCGAAAAGTACTAGTATAAAAGATAAGAAATTTACAAATATTAAATTAAAATGTGCAAATATTAAATAAAATCTTATTAAAAATTTATGTAAGATATACACTAAATTGTCTGATTTTTTATCTTCATCTTAGCTATGCATAGTTGAACATAGTTTGTAGGGAACAAATGTATCATAGTTTTCACTTCAAAACAAATTTTACTCTAATTTTTCAGAGCGCTATTCGCGCCAAGCTTATGGAGTTGGGAGTCCGTTATGACGAAGAACTGCCTGATTACATACTGGTAATGGTGGTCAATAAGAAATCCCGCCAGCAGATGCACGACGACCTAAATTTATTCCTGGAAGATTGCACGACCATATTCGTGGATTGGCTTCACGATCAAGTACTGAAAAAGCTACAGAAAGTCACTGTGACCAAGAAGAAATCATCTCGTGAGTTCGTGCCTACTGTGGTGGTAAAACAAGAGGAGGAGAGGAAGAAAAGGAAGGTGTCCACGACTTCGTTTTTAGAAGATCAGACGGTGGAACAGTCTTTGGATAAAAATGCGAAAAGCGACAAGCAGCAACCGGTGCAGAAACAACAGATGACAAAGTCATCTGTACCTAATCAAAATCTGGAACAGAATTACAGCAAGAGCGTAGAGAGAAATGTGAAGGGTGTACATAATAAGAGCAGAACAGATGAAACATTGTCAATTCATAGTGGATCCTATCAGGATTCTGTTTCCACAAGGAGACCGCAGCAGAATTCCGGGCGTGATGAGAGCACGGCGAAGGAGACAGTCACGCTGGAGAATTCCGCTGTGAAAATCACAGATTCGCATCGCGATCAGAAAGCGAGTGAGGCAGTAGATAAAAGCCTGAAAAGGTCACTGGAGTCGAATTACCGTCAAGAGAGCACGGAGAAGAGAAGCAGCGAGGCGAAGCGGCCGAAAACGTCCGAGGAAGATAAAGAGGATATAAATGCATCGTTATTTTCCCCAGATACGGCTTCGAGAAAGTTGAAATCTTGCGTGAATAAACCAAAGATAACGTCAGTTGTATCAGTGAAAAATCGGCTCGGCGTAGCGTCATCGCGGAAGAAATTCGAAATTTACAGGGAAAAAGAGGGCAATGATCGCTATCGTCCGTCGGAGAAGCGTTTCGAGAAGCCGCATCGTTACGATAACGGACGCAGTGGGAAAGGCAGAAACTTCGAGGCGGATGACCGAGGTTCCAGGCGGAATCGTGACGGCGATTCGTCACGACATCATGAGGCACCGAGCAAAGTCAACGACGTAAGAACTCGGATAGAGAGCAACAAGAACGAAAGACTAAACAAGAACGTGGAGTCCAGAGAGAGGATCCCGAATTCGGGTACGAAAATAGAAAATAATGTGAAAAAGTCTACGAGCACTATTAAGGATCGTTTAGGTATCGTGGGTATCAATAATAAAGCGCAAAGACAATCTGCCAAGTTGCAAGAGCCAACGAACTATTCTGAAATCCGGAGGAATAATCTGAAGAATTCAGAGCAAGTCGGAAACAACAATAAGAACATCAAAGACCGACTTGGTCCATTGAGGAATAATTTCAGACCGGTGCATAAGCAGAGACAACCTCGCAATAAGGACGACGAGTCTCTGATCTCTTTAAACCCCGATGTCGAGGAAGATGTGAGAGAAAAGGAAGTGGAGGAGGACGAGGATGAGGTGGACAACGATGAGCAGTCGCTCGGACCTGTGAAGTCGCACATAGTTGCCGTGAACAGATTCACGATCTCTGCCGGCGCGAAGACAGAGAGGAAACGCACGAAAGTGATTCCACTCGCAATTCAAAGTACTGGCTATTCGGGACACGCAGGCACAAAATCGCAATTAGATAAAGTGGACAGAGGGATGTCCAGCGATATAGATGAGAACACCGAAGACATTAAGTTGCCAAGCAAAGTGATCGTCACGCCGAGACCTTTGAAGCCGCTGCAACCGACACAAAAGCGTGCCACACAATCACTCTTGTTGCGAGCAGTCGCGGAGGCGAATCAGTCGGTTGTCACGCAGAAGAATCCGGAACCGTCTCTTTTCGTAAGTTTCACTGACACATTGTAAATCGTCTAAATCAAGCAAATCGATTCTCTGTACCTTGTACACCGAGGATGGTAAATATCGATGCTCTTAATGTCTACGATATGTTTCTGGAAAAATGTTTAACGTCAAAGAGGAAAAAAAAATGTTTTTTTCATCGAAGGCTCAATTTTGTTAGGACAAGAAGCCGGTCGTAAAGCGTCTTAAACCTGCCCCGGCTCGTGATGTAAGTCAAAACTTGTCGGTACATTTTAATTCTAGTAAGAGACTGGTCATGGAAAAGATTCAGGTCGAATTAAACACGGTAGACAGTCTGGATATGGATGACGTCGAGCATGAGCCTTGTAAGTCTAACTTTTGCGGAAACGTGTTTTCGTATCAGAATTTGAAAGAGTTATGAGATCTATGCCTATTCTACTTTTCGACATTTTCATGCTGGAACCTTTATTTATATATTTGCATTTGTACTCTTAATAACACTCAATACAATTACATACAATGTAGTATTTATCAATAATAAAATTAAACCGAAAAGCAATAATTCAAGTCAATAATTACAATAGTGTCAATAAGATCAACGTTAAATGTCCGATTTTTGTTTTGTTCTAATTTATTCTTTTTATCCGTCTCATTATTCCTGAAAGGTATTTCTGAATAAGAATTGAAACATCTGCGAATTTGTTATTTAAATATATACATTTTACATGCGTATATTTATAACGAGATATAAGTACATAGGTTGCAATCGAACTCAGGACCACTGACAAATCAATCGCTCTCACGTAGAACTATGAAGTAATAATTATTCAACTTCTAATAAACATCTTCGAAAAATACAAGTAAAAGTACATTTAATATAAATAAAGATTCCAATATTAAATACTTTCGCAATAAAGGAACTAACTCTTTCATCTCTTCTCTCGGGATTTTAATTCCTCGCTTATTATCGCATAATCCGTAGATGTACCTCAACCGGTAACAGATGAGCATATGGGAGTCGTGATGTCGTTGTTTCAAAGAAGCGACGACAATCAGAAATTCTTAGTTACTCTAAACGGATACAACAACAATCTCTTGAAAGAGAAGATCAGTTCTGAGGACGATGAGGAGCGCTTGGAAATGGAGGTAATTTTTCCACCACCTGTAAAACATTTCCTTCCTTTCCCCCCCGAATTTTAATCCTCGCGCGCATTCTAGACGCACGATGTTCCTCCTCATGCTCGCAGGTGAACGAGGATGATGAGCTCGCGCTGTTGACAACGCATAACGAGGCGGCGGCGGCGACGACGACGACAACGATGGCGACGGCAACGACAATAGCGACAACGACAGCCATTGCGCAGAACAAGAATACATTTAGAATAACGACGGATGAAACAGAAAACGATATGGAGGCTAGTCCAAAAGAGACGAGTGGAGAGGAGAACAATGAGAACTGCAACACGGAGAACGTGGATAAGACTGATGACATGCCGCGTAAACGGAGAAAATTGAGCCCTATAATCTACAACAGATCTCACTCTCCGAGTCCTACACGACTGAAATCTACTGCGTTACCGGCATTAACCGCCAAACGTATGCATCAACACTTTTTTCACGTTTGTCTTGGATATTAAGTATATATCACTATAACGTACCGTGTTATTCTTTTCAGTCCCGGATAAAAAACCGTTGGTGGAGACCACAGTTCCGACCGTTATAGACAAGTCTAGGGAGAATTGTAGATACTGGCCAAACTGTACATTAGGAAACAAATGCGCGTTCCTTCATCCACCTGTCATGTGCAGGTAACTTTCTAAATTAAAGATTTATTGTGCTGCATTTCAAAACGTAAACAATTCATTTTTTAACCAGAACATTTGTGATTCTTTTAATTCTTAATCAACTTCCTTGATATAATCTTCTTATAATAACCTTCTTTTTCGCAGTGCCTTTCCGGCATGCAAATTCGGTGACAAGTGCGCCTACAAGCATCCCAAATGCAAATTCGGTTTGTCTTGCACGAAGCTGGGCTGCGTGTTCTCGCATCCCGCTCAGCAGTGCAAGTATCATCCGTTCTGTACGAAACCGGCGTGTCCGTATTCCCATCCGGCCACGTCCACTCCGGCGACGGAAACGACGAGCCAGCGAGCGAAATTCACTTGGCGCCGACGGGATTGAGCGTATTTTTGCGCATGTACAAACTTGAGTATATCGTTCAGAATCGTGATTCACGAAAGATTATTTTGTACAGGTCAGTGATGAGATGTACTTTACAAATTAGAGTTGACATGAGTTAACGTGAATTCATCGCAGCGAAATTAATTTCGCGATTGAAGAGTGCGTCTAATGAAAAAGAGAATGAACGCTTCATCAGTACAATCGTGATATTATGTCAGATCGCAGCTTCACTTCCTCCACAATAATTGAAGAATCCAACAAGATAGAGAAAAATTTTAAAAGCTTTAAACAGTAGAAAAATTGATTGTTCACTCTTTTATTCAACCTAGGTTTAAAATAATTAGTTAAAGCTTTAATTTAATTTAGGATAGTTAGATCGCCGATTTATATA